AAATTTTAATTATTTATATAATAATTATTAATAGTTAATTTCAAAACTCACAAAATTAATCATCAGCCGCGCAAGCTGATCCAAACAGGTTTCTTAAACTCTTCTCTACTTTTTTCGGGGCTCGTTTCTCCATCTGGGCAACAATGGAGGAGCTTACCTGTTGACGGCTCCTTCTTTATGCTATCTCCTTGCATACAAAAGACAAAACAAAAACTTCTTAACATCAAAATGAAAATCCTATGGTAATTCTACTTGTTTGGTAGGCAAGCATGATCAAGAAGTGCATCTTAAATATCCTACGAGCAATTTAGGCATTGATACTCAAATTTCTGGGAAAAACTGTTTGCCAAATTTAGACATGTTCCATCCTACTTTTGAGCATCAGCAAAAACGTAAACGAATATCTAATTAGATAAAATATTACTATCTCTATTAGGATTAAACAGAATTTAAGACATCAGATAGTATTATCCCATACTTCATTGATGTAAGCCAAGCTAGGAAGAAAACAAAACTAAGAATTATCTGCCTGGAACTCCCATCTGATGCAGCAGCGGTAGCAGTCTGGGGAGGTAGCCATGGAATGTCAAGGGGAACACTGAAAGCCACACATAAACAAGTCCATGCTCTTGATCTTTTCCCACCATTTTGGCCGTCTCTTTGCACCACCTTTACTAACAGAAGCTCCATCCTTTTTCTTCAACTTCAGCTTCTCTATTTGAAAGCAACAGCCCACAAAAGCGACGCCATCATCTTCTCTGCTGCTGATTTTCTCTTCTCCTTGCAGCTCTTTCCTCAACAACTGCAGATAGTAGTCCTTGTTTCTCATCTCCAACCCGTATATCTGTCCTTGAAGATCCTCAATTTTTCTAGTAAGCATAGACACCCTATGATCCTCCCTCATCTTTAACACACACCTAGCTAGCTCACCAGCTTTCCTCTTTAAGAACACTGCTTCAGATGACAACCCTTTGTTTTCTTCCAACACGGCTTGCATTTTGTACCCCAATCTCACATTCTCATTCAGTAACACTATCCTCTCTGACTCCAACACCTCAAGAAGTTTCTTTAATAGCTCTACTTTTCTCCATATTGATTCTTGGCCTTGCTGCTGCTTCTCCATTTCACTAAGCTGGTCTGCTAGTATATCATTCTCTACATTCTTCATTACAAGATCAACTACAACCTCATCCATGCCAAGAACGGTATTACTGCCATCTTGAAAGGGGGTTGTGGGGTGTTGGTAAGACATAGAACTCTCAGCATCCCAATCAAGAAACTGGCAACTGCTAGATCCACCACTACGTTCTTGATCTTGGTCATCATCAAGAGCCATTAACATCGGAAATGAGAAATGATTGCTAAGTTTCTTGCCCTTTTCCATTCTACTGCATCTGTCCATCAAGGCTGTGTACCCATTGTACAAGTCTCGAAGTAAAGCAAGAAGTTGAGGGCGTTTCTGATAGTACCATTCAGCTCTCTCTGCAAAGCTGTCTCCACATCCCATGTCTTCTTCTGATTTGAAGTACTCGAGCAACATTTTCACTCTCTCATCAGCTCCCTCTGTAGGTAACTCAACTGGGGTGTTTTGAAGTAAAGAGAAGTCCCCCATTCTAGTTCAAATGTGAGTGAATTGCAAGCTGAAAGTTATTTAGTGGCCAAGGATGGATCTTTATACATCAAGGTATGGGAGAGTGACAGTGATGTGATGATGGGATTTCAATTTTTTGCAGTGAAATGTCGAAACTTTAAAAACAAACACTGCACGAATATAGCAGTGCTCCAAATAGCAGAAGTTGACAAATGGGACAAAGCATTGAGCTATGTATTGAACCCAAAGATTATAAAAGATCTGAATCATTAAGGCCAGAGTGTAATTTCTATAAAATATAAGGATAAAAAATCTTCTAAACAAGGACCGATTTGTAAATAAATATTTGTTGTTTATACGTTACAGGGATTAAAATGAAACTTTGCTTTGGGTTCTAAAACTTTTATAATATAAGGATAGCAATAAATCTTGTTATTACACTTGCCCAAAAAAAAAAATCTTGTTATTATTTTTTTTATTATAAATATATTTATTTTTGTATTTTAAAAATATTTATAAAAAATAAAATTTATTTTATTTTTTATTTTAAATTAATATTTTTTTAATATTTTAATGTGATGATGTTAAAAATAATTTTTTAAAAAAATAAAAAAATATTATTTTGATATATTTTCAAATAAAAAATATTTTAAAACAAACTATTATCATATTTTTAAATAAAAAATATTTTAAAAAAAACTGCTATTTTTGAATACCCATCTATCATATTATTTGACCTGGTGTGTCGAGAAGGGTGAGGGAAAAAATGATAATTTATGAGAGTAAAAAGGAGTGTTTAAAAGTATTTTAAATATTATGTTTTTAATGTTTTTTCTATTTAAAATTTATCATAATAATATATATTTTTTATTTTTTAAAATTTATTTTAATATCATTATATTAAAACGATCTAAAAATATTAAAAAATAGTTTAAAAATTTTTTAAAAAAATTTAATGAAAAGTATATTCAAACTCAATTCCAAACTAGCATTAACAAGACAACTACTCTTGTTACATGATCCGACGTTTAATTTTATTTCCCTATTATGAATTTTATTTTTTTAGTAAATAGAATATTTTATAGAAGTGTTTTATTATTGGAAGTTGCTTCACATCAGGTGTTTGCTAACTTAAAATTCTGGATTGATAGTTGAGAAAAAATACTTTATTTTTCAATTTTTAAATTTAAATTTAAATTTTAAGCTAACACTTTAAAGAATTTATTAAATTACTTTAAATACACTAACGTGGGAGGTACATTTTTAAAATCATTCGGAAAAAAAAATATTTAGTTTTGGCTGGTTCGTAAAAGGATCCTAAATTGTATTATGGTGTCATTTATGGCGACATCCCCCCTGTTCAAATCCATTAATTGTATATTTTAAATGTTTTTTAATGTAAAATATATTAAAATAATATTTTTATTTTTTTAGTTGTAATATTAATAAATCAAAATAATTAATAAACACTAATAAAAATATTAATTTAATATCTTCTCAAGTAAGAAATAATTTTAAAAAATAAATCCAACAACAAAAGCAAAACTCTTCAATAGGATGTAAAAGAAACATAGAGTGCAGAGTGCTGCTGCTCCAATAATTTTAAGATGCAGATGGTGTTTGCGGATGAGATAAAGGATTATTTTTTAAAGTATATTTTTGTTTGGAAGTGTATTGTAATAATATTTTTATTTTAAAAAATTATTTTTTATATTAATATATAAAAATAATTTAAAAACATAAAAATAAATTAATTTTAAATAAAAAATTTATATTTTTTTCATAAAATACTATTTAGAAAGCAATTTCATTCGGTGCTGTTAAAAGCAAATAGAGTGGAGTGCTGCCGCGCCAACATCTTTTGAATCCACCTC